CCCCAAAACCCCAAAACCCCAAAACCCCAAAACCCCAAATAAATAATATTTTGTTGAACCCAAAAACTTCTTTGGTCAATTTTATGTAAATCTGGGTGGCTTCTAAAAGTAAAATTCTGAGATTTCACTAGATTTTTCACAATTTTACTGAAAAAATTAAGACTTCAGCTTGTAAAGACTTAAGTCGATCTTTTAAGCTGTTTTTAGAAATTAGGTTCAAAAATATTGGCGACATCAGGAAGATTAATTGTGCATAAAAATGGTTTATATGTCTTCTGGCTTCAGCCACTTTTGTGAGATTAACAAGCCATCGAGATGTATGATCCCAATAGCCTATACAAAGCTTTGAGAATACTAATTCTAACTTCTAATAAAATTCTGAGAGAAAGTTATAAAAATTCTCAGATGTCTAAATTTCTAAGACGGCAGTAGTCCTCTTGCTGACACTTCAAGCTTATTGTGAAGAAGTGTAAAAAGGTTATAATTACTATTCTTACATCAGTTTCTTCAACCAAATTATCTAATATGAGTCTGAAGCAACAGAATGAGCTGTTATTTCTAATTTTAGCATCTCAATAATTTTCTCAACATATTTAGCTGTACGAAAGGGAAAATATTCACATTTTGGAGGTGATCGTATCCTTAGAGGGCCAATTTTTATTTTATAGACCTATATAAGAATCTCAAAATTTTCAGACTCTAAGTGATGATGAAAACAATAAAAATTTTGAGAATTTATGCAAAATGGTCTTTGATCAATGAATCAAACTGGAGAAATTTGATATATCGAAGGTTTGCAAGCTAAAAGAGAAGTGATCTGTCTTTTTGGATAAAATATCGCCTATTTCTTGCAATTCAGAGGCTAAAATACTCATTTTAATTGATAACTTATTAACCAAAATTTTTAATAAGAAAGAAACTGATGTAAATTTCTTCGATTTAAAAAAATCGAATAAAGATGGTGATTTTTCCGAAATACCACAATTTTGTGTTAAAAAATTTAGTAAACTTTATGTTAGTTTATGAAGCTCATTAAGAATTCTGCCTAAGTGGTAGTGTTAGTTAGAAATTAATATTGAGAAGCACCATAGCATCAAAAAGAAGGTAAAATGTGTTATATAACTCCATTACCTCCTAAAAACGAGTCTAAACTTTTAAAACCATACTCTCACTCTAAACTCTGCCACTTTCGAATCTTTCCTACTTTTTCTAAGTTGAATGCAAGTTCTAATGACTAGGCCAATTAATTATATTATTTAAAGGATACGCAACCTGAACTGCCTCCCTGAGATCAATCTACAATCTAAGTTTTCATTGCCTAATTGTGCACTTCCCGAGTACAAACAAAGTATGGTAAATTAACAAATAATTTGTAAGGAAACATTGCCAGTCGAATTTTGAATTGTAATTTAAGACCTCTTGACTGAAGTCTTTTTACTCATTATGATTCACTTACATTAGAGCGAGATGTCATAGTCCTACAAGATGGAGGGCCTTAATCTGAATTCTATCATTTAGTCTATAGTTTAGCATACTTCGAGCAATCTTTAAGGAGATCCTAGCAATTTCAAATACTATAGCTCTGGAGTAACCCGAGCAACTAGGCCGATTAAGTCTAGTTTAGATTATGAGCACGATTTTGAGAATAATGAGATAGCAATTTGAATGGTTAATTTCGAGTAGGTGAAACGTCACACCTTGCCTAAATAATTTGATTGGCTTAAAACTTTTATGCAAAGATTCCTCAAAGCTGGGATATTATTGTCAGGAATAAAAGACAAACAGAGCACACTTATCTCCATTGAAAGAACCCTCCCAGACTTCAATCAGAAATTGTGGGAAAAGTGAAATTGGGTAGTTGAAGACCCGATTTGAAAAGTTTAACTTTCTCATGAAAGTGGTTACTAAGGTTAAAAATCGTTTAAAAATAGATGAAATATAAGCTAAGCATGAGTAACTGTGTTCCTAAACTAAGTTATATTTATTACCCTTTATAATGGATGTTTGATCCATCCCTTATCTTTAATTTAATAAGTGTCGGGAAGAATTTCTTAAAAGTACCTTGGTGACACTTTCTTATCAAAATTGAAGTTTAATTCAGAAATAGTCAGAAATAAAGTGAAGGAATAGACTTGTAGCTGAAGACCCTGCATTGTTATAAAGAGAGTATATTGAAATTTATTAGCTAAGTAAGTTAAGTTAATTTGATACAGGAAGGATGTCCTTCATAGTGACTCCTCTAATGGCAAATTCGTCATTTTCTGACTCATTTTGCTCATCAACGGCTCACATAAAATCATTGGTTACTTTCTGCCCTGCACGCCTTGAAGAGGAAGTGTAGTTCCCACTGTTATATAGGGGAGCAAAAGCAGTACTAGTGAACTTTTGATCAATAGACATGGTTCTTCTATTTTTGCAGTTACCAAGTCTTCTATTTCTATTGTTCTTCTTGCTCATCATTGTTTGTTTAGATGAAGAAAGATAAGATTTCTTCCTCCCTAAGCTACTTTTAGAGCGGTTAGGGGTTCTTCTGAAGACTCTAGTCTTCTTCTTGTATTTGACTGGCATATTCTGACAAAGAGAGAAGCCCTTCTTTAGGGCCTTATAAGACTCGATCAAGGGCATTTCTGGAATTAATCTGACAGATGTCAGACAATTCTTTCTAGCAGTGAATTCTAGTTTGTCACTAGCTTTAAGATACCCCTTATTCCTGATGAGTATATGCTCATCCATATTATCAGTTATTGAAGCTAGGGGAGTAGAAATTTGTGAGTTCTCATCCATTTCGTCTGGGATATCACATTCGTCGAAAAATCAGCTATCAAACTCTTTGTTTGGCTCTTGGATGTTGGTACGTAATAACTCAACAGGAGTTTTTGATGATGTTTTCTAAATTTGAAGTTAATTTTCAGAACTTAATAATAAGATGTTAACAGGACATCCTGATGTGTGAAACAAAGAAAGATAAAATGTTTAAGTTATACTGTTCATGGTTAAATTGAAAACAATGCTTACAATATTTGGATCGATTTGTACAGCTAGCATATTTCCAGTTTATAGTTTTAATTATTATTAACCAGGTTATCAATATTCTTATGAATAATTGGGGTTTTGGGGTTTTGGGGTTTTGGGGTTTTGGGGTTTTGGGG